GAGGATCAGAGTGTAAAGTTGTTGTCCCTATGTTTAAAAGGGGGTTGGATGACTCACTGTTCCAACTATGGTATCACACTACTGTTGAGAAACTTTTCTCCTAGATTATCCCAGTAAAGCTTAGGAAAGCAATTGACATGATTTCGCCAAAATCAAGCAGTCTTCTGAGTGGGCTACTCCTGTCCCGACCAGATTTTCTCTCTGCGATGAATCGCTGCCGCTTACAGCAGCGTTGGCTTCGATGCATCATGAAATTAAATGGCATGACAACGTAAGGAATGACTCTTCGCCTCAGGGCACAGCTGACTTCAGTCGATGTGAAGATTAAGAAAAGGAGGTTAGCTGTTAGTCAGACTTGTTGAACATAAACCATTTACTCTTGCCTATGAACTTCTTTGGGAACCGAAACGCTGACACACGTCGACCATGAGACCACCATGCTCATAGAAGAACAAGGTAGAAGTAGATCTGCTTTCAGAAAAAATTTCTTTCTGCGATACAGTGACCGGTGCCTTATAGCAAAAGTGCTTGAGAAGCTGCGGATGCAGCAGACATCACTACCCATGGACGTTCCGTTTATGCTAATAGCTCACTGTTATGATTTCAAGAAACACTCAAAATTGATTGGTGCCAATACGATCATATGTAATGACTCATGCAAGTCGTTATACCAGACTGTACAGCATCGTTCTGTTGTTTCGATAGACCTAGGGAGCTATTTAAGTAGGCTACCTTTCCAGGAACTTACAGTTTGTATGATTGCGATACTACATTACTGAATTAAGCAGTATTACGAAGTTTTCATGCATCAGTGGCGGTTATGACTTGTGTAAAAGTCCATTTAAGCAAACGCACATTGGTTAGTCGATAAATCGTAACTCATGAACTCCTTTTTGCAAAGTAAACAAAATACTGATACCAGATTGAAACGGTGAAAAGAAAGTCTATTTCTCACTTTAAGCTGGCAGCATTATAGCACCTCTCCCTTGCTTCTAGACGCCTAGGGGGACCATTTGAACAGGCCACGGACCCATGGTATTTAAGCGACTGTAGTGCATGGAGCGCAGTAACGCTTTTCCAACTAGAGTTGGACAAATGTACATTCGACCAAAATTGCCACCATCAGTAGACATATGAATGCCAAAATATGCCCCAGGTGTTCTTTGGGACCTTTCGAATCCGCAACTGAGCATATCACGTTAAAAATAAAGTATTGAATGATCCCCTAGAACATTGGGGCTATCCTGTCATTCGTATGTCGCCATCGGTTCATGGCAGTCTTGCAGTTGAATATTCGTTTGTTCAAATTTAGTATGAATATATCTTTGTTCAACTTTGAGAGCGATCTTGCGTCCTATGCCTGCAGGCGCTTAGATACCATTGCCGGGCTCTGCTTAAATGGTTCCCTAGATGTCTAGAAGCAATGAGGCGGTTCAGTAAAACTGTGATTTTACTTGAAGTTGATTTTTCTTTCTTTACACTGTGCGTTTACGCCGTTTCAATCCGCTGTTAATGTGTTCAATATGGCGGTATCGGAAGGTCCCCAAAAACATCAGGGTTATATTTTGTCCATCGTTCTGCAATTGATTGTGGCAATCGTGGTTGAATATAGTTTTATTCAGCACCAGGTTGAGACATGGTCCTGTATCCCATGAACAGCAGACGCTTAAATACCGTGGAGCCGTGGCTTGCTTAATTGGTCCCCTTACGCGTCTGTCAGCAAGCTGGCGGTGCAATAGTGCTGCTGGTGTGAAGTGAAAAATAAATTTTTCTACTTTACACTGCATTTTCGCAGGTTTCAATCCCGTACCATTATTGTTAATAAGATTTTTCTTTTTTTCTTTACACTAAATTTTCGCCGTTTCAGTCCAGTAATGCTTTGTGATACATTCTGCGGCGGCATCGAAAGCTCCCCAAGGACATTGGGTTTTGTTTTATCACAAAGTAAAGTTTTAAGTAAACATTTTTGAAAGACATAGTAAAATTTGCATAATCAAGTAAACTGTTCGTTGAAGCGTTAATAATGCCATATTTTTAGGTTTCCTCGATGCGTTTCCTCCTTAAGCAGAATGTGTAAAAAACGAGGAAGAACGACGCACAAAAGTAAGCAGATATCACGCAAGGAGTAATTTCGTGTATAAACTAATGAGATGTTTTGCGATAGTTACGTAATATTATGCCTCCTTACTGTTTATCCTCGCTGTGAAAGGTGGCATGTGTCTTGAAAACTTAAAGCTCATGACCTGTTTTTTATGTCAAGATCGAAAAATTAATCTAGGATTTAAATCACAAGGCAAATAAAACGCATTGCTTTTTGCGGATAAGAGATAGATTAGTAGGTAGGAGTGACAATACAATATTTTTACTGAAAATATGTTTCACCAGATATCGTAAATTCTGTTAGTTTCCAGTTATTTCTCTCTCGTTGGCCTATGTACGGCAGTCTGTTAAACCTGCGCATCTGATGCATCATACTTTACAGCTTGCCCTGGCAAGCGATTCCATATCCTCCTGGACTTGCGTGAGATAATTTTTTAATATGCTCTATGTAAATTTCTGTTAGTTGAGGTTTGAGGTTGTACTTTAAAACAGTAAAACAGTAAGTAGCAAGCATATATTTGTTCCACTTTCTATTTGAAAATGGTCCTATTAGTTTATTCAGTTAAAGACATACAGCCGCATTTATAGCATATTTGATTTCTTCTGTAACTTTCGTCACACGTTTTCTCAGTTTCGTATTTTGTTAATTTTTTATCTCACCATTTTATTCTGTTGTGTATTTAGAAGTTATATTCGAACTTCGGCAGAAGTCGTTTGAAATACAGAACGTATACGAACAGCTTACGTTATACTCCTTATGTCGGACATGGCTGCTCGGAAAATCAGAAACTTCTTTTAAGCAAGACAAATGTATTCAGACGGTGATTAAAAGTGAATTTGATGGCACAACTGAACCTGCTGCTCAAATTGAGGTGAGCTCTGAGTTTTTATTCTCTGTACCTATTTCGGTTGAAATAATTTATCTTCTGATGACATACAACTGAATCTTCTTGCGAACATGATTTACATCTGTTGCCTTCAGGATTGCGAATCGAATGAGGGCTACTCAAACTCAGAATTCTTCATCCAAGGATCTCTAAAGCGTTGTACAGATATCTCTCAAACTGCTTAAACTCAGAGCAAGAGAAAGTTACGAGACCCTTTATCACGATATTTAAAGAACATTTCTTCTGCCGAAGCTGTCGTTCCAAGCTGACGTACACTCTTGAATTAGAATTTGAGGAGCCGCCGTCTTCACCTCAACAGCTGTTCAAAGGGAGCTCATAACGGAACATCCTCTAGAGACATCCGTTGTCTATCGAGACTGATGATAATGAATTATTGCCTGACAATAAGGGAAATCTCCGTCATGTAAATAGTTAGCGTCTTACATGGGTCCAGTATTTGTTTTCGCTTTCTATTCAAGTCATTTCATGCACTAAAGTTTGAATTCATTCAGAAAGTGGGAGTTCTTTTTGAATCCAACAGAAAGATCTTAAGCTGTGCCAAGTTCTTTGTCGCTTTCAAGTCAAAAGGCAAACTACAATTGCTGCTAGCGAAACCGAGAAACTGGATGCTTCTGGAAGAGGCAGAGGATTCTCATAACCCTCGTTACGTTGTCCAGACATGATGACCCATACAGAGGATAGCTGCGAGACGTAGACGACCACTGACAGAACTTCATGTTTAGACGCCTAGGTTATGATAAGATATTAATTTGCGAACTTAGAAGCTCGTAAACGATTGCAAATAATATCAGGGTTTGCTGCATGTGATTGCACTTACTTCGCCAACGCCAAATCCATTACACCTTCATGTTGCGTTTTCAAATAGATCGTGCTTGAAACAGTCAAGACATGGTAAACAAAGGCATGCGGACTATG